ATCTTAATTACTGCTAATGTTCTTGTTACTCTAATACTGTGGCACCACAGGCCTCAGGTATGGGCCAATGGCCTTTCTGTGATGCTGTGACCCTCCAGGGTCGAATAAAGACTATCTATCTATCTAAACCTTTCGCCAAATGTGTATTTCATTACAAGGTGTAGCTCCCTTTTTGTAAATATAAATATATATATAGTTAAAAAAACTTGCCAGGGACAAGGACGGACGGTGACGCAGACCACAGAGTCGAGTAGTGGAGCACCCAGCGCCGGAAGGTGTAGCCGACCAGAGAAAGAAAGCAGACGACACACCAAATAAATGCGTCGGCAGCAAGACCGCCGTGGTTATGCAACCATGTTTTCTTTTATTTCTGCCAAGTTTTGCTATCATTATCCGCATTTATTTTTAAACCAAAGTCGCGAACAGTCAAAATACATATATATAATTTTTTTTTAAGCAAGCAGGAACAAAGCATATACAGTTACTCTAGCCGTAACTACTGGGTGTCCCAAGGAGCGGCCAGGCTCTGCGGCGTTGCCCACAGATGTGCGCTTTTTTTTTCTGTAAAATTTGCAAAGAGCGAACAGGTGTTGTGAAGAGTGGGCGTGCGATGTGCCGTAACAGCGCCAAAAGTGAACCGTCAAAGAGCGCGCTGACTTGGGGGGTTTGCTAACATTGGGATCGGCGCTTGGGCTTTCGCCTTCAAGTCGTCTTAGGGATAACGTAAGATACCCTGCGAATTTTGGGGACAAAAAGCAGACCTCAAAAACAGGACTGCCCCGGCCAAAACGGTGGTGTGTTTAGCGTCCTGTGCTGCCCATACATCAAAAGTATGGTCCCGAAGTGGCAACAAATGATGTCACAGAAGCCGAAGTGTCATGCTGTTGCATGTCGCGATCCTGGCGGTTGGTCGTAAAGAAGCCAACGAGAACATGGCCTCCGCGCTTCGAGATCTCCGAGGCCATGACGAGAAGCTGCGAGTAGCAAGACCGAACGTGAGTGTCGCTATTGTCATGGTGTCCCAACTCCTCGCTGCCGAAGCTCCAGTGGATCTGCCACTAGAAAGCAACCGCCCAGAGCAGAATAGGCAATTGCCACATACACCACAGCTGCTGGGACGCCGACAGGATCGTGACTGGCGACAGCACGACACTTCCATCACATCATCAGGCGGAAATCGATGGACCTCTTTTTCGGATGCTGTAAACACACCAGTCAGTGACTAAAACACTGAATAATATTTCGTATTGGAGACGCGTTCCAGGCACCATAGCGCGGCCAAATACTTGGTGTGGCCTTGCATCCAACATGGCCGCTTTGGGAGCAGTAGATCCGTTCCACGGAGATCCGATCACGTGAGGAGCAGACTCCAACTGTTGTGCAGGAAAGCCACCGGTACAGCCGTCTCGCCGACGGTGCAAGCGCCTCTGCGTACATACCCCTGCTTTTGCCTCGTTGGATCCCCTTTCCTGTTTTCCACAAAAGGACAAAAAAGCGCGCCGCGAACGCGCGGTGCCACTATTCGCTGCATTTAGTCACGTGAGGAGCAGACTCCAAATACCGTGCAACATGGAGAATAGAAGGGTAGGAGAGGGCATGACGTCAGTCGCGTAGCCTCCACAAGCCATGCTCCCTTGACGCCTCGCCTCTTTCGCATTTTCCTCCTTACTCTCACCACATCACGTGACCGTAGCTAGCCTTCGTCTAGCTATGGTGTACTAGAATACACCACAGCCTAGCCTTCGATCTGATAAAACCTACCGGACGGAGCGCGCGCAAGCCTGCAAGAAATCCTCCTACAATCAACCATCCATCTCGCACGTGACATGTCACGCGCACCAATCGCCAGACAGATCTGCGGTCACGCTGGGCACGAAATCGTTTAAACTTTTTATGACTAGGCTTCACCAATATTGCAACGTGCCCCCTCCTAGTACTTCTAACCTCCTTGCCGTGCAAGAAAGTCGGCGCTACGAAGATGAACGCGCTACTTTGGCTCGCCGCCGTATTGTTCAGTGGGGTGCGCTCGGGTGCGGACATAACCCGATTACGACGCCTTAGCAAGGCTTCGTAATCGGATTTGCAGTGGTGGGACTGACAAGTGGGGATTTGGAGCAGCTCTTGTAGCAGGGAAAAATCGGTTTTGGAGCAGAGATTCCCTAACAATTTTGAGCTTTCACGTAAAATGTTTTTATTCTATCTCTCTGTTAAATAGCCTGTGGAAAAAACTGCAGTTGTTGAAGTGTTGGGAGACTAAAGTGTCATACCAAGAGGGGACCTGGACACTACATATATGTACTATTTATATATTGAACATTCATCAGCGGTAAATTTGCAATGTCTCAATTAACGTATTAGGAATACCGGTAGCGTCTTCAGCCCTAGTTTGACATAAAAAGATGTTTTTGGCTACTTTTTAGGGTTTGTATCACGCTACTCCCGCTCGTATTCCACCTGCTACTGTAAACTGAGCGGCTAAGCGGAGCACATAGCTATTCTAGCCGATCACAATGAATAACACTAGCTATAATCATTGCAATCAATGTGAGCACCATTCACAGAAAAACCGGTAACTCTTTGTAAGGCATGTGCAAATAATGAATTTTGGGTTCTAAGCAAATTCGAAGTGAGTAGTGGTTTGGCCAACTATTTTTGAATCGAATATTGAATAGTTGCGGCACATTGTTGCTCGCGGAGGTTGTTCCCAAGTTTCGAACTGCCCACTTATAAGCTCCGTTAAATTTATTCTAGCTATATTTATAGCTTGTGGCCTCAAAAGGTACCATACCTACATTGGGATGGCAAGTAAACGACATATTATTAATAAAATTAAGCCTATAAAGAAGCCCAGCCATGCCTAATTGAGGGGATTTATATTCCTGCTATATGGAAATATTTTCTTCTATTCTTATTGAAAGAATAAAAAAGAAACAAGCACAAATAATGGACACATGTTGTTAGAACACCGCTGCCCATAATATACGCTTGCAAAATAGCCACAGTTAGATTTTGAAGATTTTACTGCAGTGTAAATATCAAATACAGTATCACGTTTACTGTTTTCTTGTAATACAACAGGAATGCACGTGCACCGGACCACTTTGAAGGTGTGTTTTTCGCTTAAAGGCCGACGGGACGAGACTCGAGATTCTGCAAGGCAGAAGATCCTCCTCGCCGTGGGGGGGAGGAAACAGGCAACCGTGGACAGGGTAGAAGGGGGGAGAGGAGGACGTGGGAAGCAAGGGAAAAGTGGAAAGTGCAAACTGGTAGTTGGTCCGCGGCTCTGCTGCGACGAAGCACGTTGCAACGTCAGCTCTGCGGGTATTGCTTCTCCATAGTACACTAGTGCTTAAGAAGCGCGCTCAACCAGGCTAACCGGCCGCGATCAACACTTCCAAAAGTATGAATATCGCAGTTCATTTTCAAGAGATTATCAAATAGCGTATTATTTGAAACAGCTATATGAAAATTCAAATATTTGCGCAACCCTACTTTCGCACATAGTACTTCTTCATCCGAAAAAACTGTACTTCATTCATTTTCAGTGGCATCGCCAACAATGCCACGTGCCAAATACTTTCCGCTTCCTTTTCAAGAACAGCTTCCTTTTGGCGCAGACATGGCGCAAAGTGTACACAAATGCAGCCTTTGGAGCAGCATGTAGCAGGTTGTTCGCCCTGGCGCATTTTGGTGGGCAGTTTCACAACTAGGATTATGACGAGTCCAAGCGCACCCCAACGAGCAAGATGACGGCGCCCTGAAGCCGGATTGCAAACATGTATACTACCATTGTACATGGTAAAAATCGCTCACAGAGACAAGGATTAATGAGGAAGGAACAGAGAACACAGCGCGCAATTTTTACCATGTTCAATCGCGCACAAAATGGTAACATTTTGTGCGCGATTTTTATTATGTTAAACGTTTACCAACTCGCCCAGCTTACCACTTTGCTACAGTGTATACTACCGGAACTACCCGAGTTGCGCGTCTGTTTTTCATGTGCCGCCGGGCCGCTATTTGCCGAGATCCGATCACGTGACGAGCCGGACCAAATGCCGTGCAGGAAAGTAGACGTACGCGCCTCGGGCACCGTTCCTCTGCATTTGAGCACGCGGCGCCGCTATTTGCCGAATTCAGTCACGTGAGGAGCAGGAAAGACGGCGCTACGGGGATGAATGCGCAACTCTGGCTCCCGTAGGGGGCCTATACAGGGACTCTAACTGAAACCAGCGCCGTATATTAAGAGAGTTTGGCCAGTGGGTGTGGCCAACGTGTGGCGACGAAGGCGCCGGAGAGGGGAAAAGTGAAGGAAAGGGAGGAGTGCGCTGAAGGAGCGAGAGAAAGGGAGCAAAGAGCAGACGACCGCCATTTTGACGAAATGCTGTCGGCACCGAGCACCGTTAAGGCTACGCGTCGTCTACTACGGGCTTGTTTCTTTTTCGCCTGAATAAAAAGTTTGCGCTCAAACATGGAGAAACTTCATTCGTTAGCTTTTTAAGCCCCCAAGGAATAACACTATCTTTTTCTTGCCAGAGCTTGCCAAATAAAAGGAAAGAACCGAAATTTGGATGTCGATTCCATGCATTCCGCCAGGTGAATGATTGAAAATGGCAGCCCTCCCCGCTGAGCAGGGAGCAGCCGCGAGTTCACACGCATGCGCTCACGTCTCTCGCTCTGCGCGAGTTCACGCGGGAGGGGGGCGTTGCGGCAGCGAGATCATAGACTGGCCGAGCTCTCCCCATATACGGCTCTGACCGGAACAAGCAGGTAGCGCCATTTATCGATACGTGTGCCAAACCCTCCCCGCAACGCGACTCAATCGTCTGCGTCGCTGACTGCAATTTACCCGGGCGTTTCTTTTTTTTTTTTTTTTTTCCCCTTTTTACAGAAAGGGAGCGATTCCTTGTAATTTTACAAGATAAAACCCAACTCTGAAATACATTTTTGACGAAATGCCAACCTGAAACTTGGGCAGTAACTGTCTGATAACCAACCAATCTCGAATGTAAAACACTTTATTTTCATGGCTAAATGCACCACAGCTTGCTTGTCTGGGTTGAAACACGCAATAAAATTAAAAAAAGTGTTCTAGTTGAATGCACATTTTGAGGTTGAGGCGCGTTAAGAGCATTTAAGTAAAGAGTAATACAAAATGGTAGACTTAATGCTATAGTTGACGACAGGCTAAGAGTGAAGTTGAAGCCCCTTCACCTCTTTCCACTCTAGCAGAGCGAACGCTGAAAAAGAGATGACCTCCTATACAGCGTTCGCTCTGCTAAAGTGGAAAAAGTTGGGAGGAGCTCCCACTTCACTCTTAACCTGTCGCCGACATTAGATGCTACGAGTCTCTTGCTGTGGAAGCCGTACAAACTACAACTTTCTCTTGCACGCCCGATCCAGCTTTTGTCTCTTTGAAGGTGGTGGGCATGATTCACCTGATGCATTCTTGATGTCGGTCAGTTTCAAGTATGACCGCACCAGTAGCCAGTTGTCTACACCGAGCTCATCCAGCTTCATCTGGCTTCCATTTCCCCCGCTGCAAGCCACTCTGCTCTTAACAACACCAGCTACAGCTAAGAAGTTGATATCAAGATGCCTCTTGCTGTTCAGGATCCTTTCCTTAGCAACAGACTCTGACTCGCTGTCAAGCTCTTGTACCTTCTCCAGCAGTGTTCGGCTCCGGAACAGCTGTTCGAAAGCCTCCCCACATCGCTTGAAATGGTTTCCCACAACGAAGCACACTGCACATTGTAGCAAAGACAAATTCCGTCGCAGGGTATCCATGATTCGAATCATCCACGGTTCACCAGTAAAGAACCTCATCTTGTCGAAGTTTATGCTGAGAAGAAACTTGTTGTCTGCTATGCATTTAGCAAGCTCTTGCAGTATCAGGGGAGAGCTCATGTCGTGCAGCGTGAGGTGAATAAGGGTGTTGTTCCCTCTCAACACCTGAGCAAAGTCTTCTGCGTGACGGTCCTTGAAACACCAGTACCCCAGCTCTAGCTTTGAGATGCTTTTGTTGCACAGCAGTCCATCCAAGAGGGACTGTGTTGATGACTCAGTTGTTGGGAAGCTCAGAGTGGCACATTTCAATGTCTTCGTCAATGCCAAAAACTGTGCTAACAGTTCTGCAGACTCCTCACACATCTTTTCATTCATCATTATGACAAGCTTTACCAAGTGCTTAGATGTACTCAAGCAACGAAAAGTGGGGATTCCTGGAACAACATCTTTGATCACTCTATTGTTTCCAATGTTTAAGATTCTGTAGCCATCGTAACTGTTCTCGTTGCCATCGTAAGAACTCGTGTCATCGTCTACGCTGTTATCACCTCCAAGGGAGTCGTCATCAGTGGTATCGCCATTTCCAAAAGGATTTTCATCATCATCGGTGTAGTCATCACCTCCAAGAGAGCCATCATCATCAGTGTTGCCACCATCTCTAAGGTAGTCATCGTCATCAGTGTTGCCATCACCTCTAAGGTAGTCATTGTCATCGTCAGTGTTGCCATCATCTCTAAGATAGTCATCGTCATCATCGGTATTTTCATCCCCCCCATCGTCATCTTCGCTACTGCTATCACTGCTGTTAATAAAGATATCATCTTCAGTTCTCACGGTGGCATGGAGACAAGGACAGTAACAGACCTCTGTCAATTCAGAACAGTTCTCCAATGCTCCTTGCAACACGAGGGCACTCTTAAAGATGCTTGTAAAATGTACCCTGTGCTCAGTCCCTGTCTCTTTTAAGACATTATACACACCTTCAACCAACTTTTCATCAACATTGCTCATTATGACCATCTGAAGGGACTGGTTCTTTGCCAGTGCGCTGCAGAACTCCTTTGTGTCGCAGACAGAGACTCTTGACCAATTAAGGCTGAGCTTCTGCATTGTCTTGTTCACACAAATGGCCTCTGTGAATGACTTTACCTCTTCCCTAATTGGACCCTCAAGGGCCAGTTCAAGCAACCCAGAGTTGTTCTTGATGATATCAGGGAAGTTCTCGTGCCCAAACCACGACCATTCATCAGTGATGTGCAAACTCTGCAATGTTTGGTTCGCAGTCATGGCTTCGACAACCAGGTGATGCTGAAGTTCAAACAGTGGATACCCAATTAGGTGTAACTTCTGAAGAGCTTTGTTTCTTGCAAGTGCACCAAGCATAGGTGCCAGCTCTTCCCGATGCAGGACCCCCCCCAAAGGCAAATGTAGAGTGAGGTCTCTAAGGGTGCAATTATCACCGAGGTACTCTGCAAGTGCTGTACTCAACACCTCACAAAGATAGTTGCAACCTAAGTACAACTCCGTGATGGTTTTGCAGCACTTCAAACCCTCGATCAAATGGAAACATTCTTTGGAAGCCATTGAGACATCAAAAGCTATGTTCATAACCACAAAAGATCTCAAACATGTCATGTTCTCAAAAGCAGTTTTAAGAATGGCTAGCTCTCTACTTGACAATAGCACACAGTTTAGTTTGAGTTCCTCAAGCCCTGCAAGGGTGCCGATGGTCCTCAAGAGACGCTGGTGAGCAATCACTGGCTGGTAAAATGTTCTGATGTTACGCTTGTCCCAGATCTCCAGGCTCTTCAGTCCAACGGCCAGGCGTAGGGCATCGCAAAGGAGCTCCAAGTTCTCAAGGATGACGCTGCCCTGAATCCGGAGTGCCTTTAGGCAGTGGTGCTCCTTCAAAAGCCAGTGTACAAGCACGAGTGCATATTTCGCAGCCGTGCCAGGCTGCAGTATCCTGCCGTGAAAGGCACTGATGGCCAACTCTTTGGGTGCCACTTCCTTGATCTGCATGTGACAGTGGCAGAGGACTTCATTCCACAAGCTCAGCTCATCGTAGATATGACAGAACTGGGTTTCGCTGTCGGTGCAGGGTCGGTTAAGATCAACCTTCTTGGAGGTCAGGTGGCTTGTGCTGTTGCAGAGCTCCGTGTGAAGTTCGTTGGCTGTCCAGTTTTTTGGGCAGAGCTTGCTGACGTGAGAAGCATAGGCCTTCAGCGTCTGCCGTTTTCTGTCCATTGTGTCACTAGAAGGCAACCAAACAAAAAGCAATTAAAGGGGCGATGCAACAATTTTCATACTTTGCACAAATATTACTTAGAACGGATCCCCAACGTTAATGACCTGTGCAACACCCGTTAGTTTTTCACCACACGCAATCAAAGTCGCAGAAAAAAATAGAGAAAAAAACCACCAGCACTCACCTCAACTACAAAATAAATACTAAATAATAAATAAATAAACACAACAATCGCGTGCGATCATAATGAACCTATCTACTATGACAGTGTGTTATTCAATCGGTGCATCACTAATGAAGCAGTGACTGCAAAAACCCTAAAATTGTTTCACCTAAATGCACAAAGTCTGCAGAATAAATCTGATGAAGTATGTTTTTTCCTAGATTCACTTTGTACTCCGTTTGATGTTTTTGCGTTTACCGAAACGTGGTACTCAGGAGAATTGGACATTGTGCGATTCCAAGATTATAAATGTGAAGTTATCTGCCGCGAATCTCGTCGTGGGGGCGGTGTTGCCTTGTACATTCAAAACAAACTAAACTACAATGTACTGCCTGATTTCACTTGTATGAATAATGATTTCAAATCTTTGGTTGTGAGTTACGGAGGTTGTATAATAGCTGTGGTTTACCGTCCACTCTCAGGTGCCTTAAATGTGCTTTTTTTCAATTTTCTTGAAGAATTACTTGAGTATGTTATGTCAATAAATCAGAAAATAGTTTTAGTTGGAGACATGAACATTGATCTGTTGACCAATGGACCTGCGAGTGTAGCATTATTAGAAATCGCTCCAGCAAGCGGATGTGAAAATATAATCAGCGTTCCCACTCGCATAACTGAAGGTACGGAATCACTAATCGATATTTGTTTAACGAATTACCAAAAAACTGATGTATTTTCTGGAGTTCTAACTGCAGATCTGAGCGACCACTTACCATTTTTTTGCTTCTTTCCCCAACACAGTTCACAACACAAGCCCCTGTACAAAAACCCAGTATTTTTCAGACTCGTAAAAGCAACCACTTTGGAAGATTTCTATAATCTCGTTTCGACAGAAAACTGCGAGGATGTTTTTAGGGAACCTAACCCGACAAAATCTTACGATATTTTTATATCAAAGCTTCAAGAATACCATAATAAAGCTTTCCCAAAAGCGGAGATTTAAAAACATAAAATGTCAAGGAAGCCATGGGTAATGCTGGAGCTTTACAACCGAATCAAAGCATGTGATCAGATCTTTGCAACGTTTATCAAAACTAAGAGTTTACTTATGGAATATAAAAAATGCAGAAACAAACTCTCTCTTCACATTAAAAAGGCGAAGATAAACTTTTATAAATCTACGTTCTCTGAAATTTATAAAGACCCAGCTAAGCTGTGGAATACTATGATAAAATTAATGTCAATAAATCCGGTTTTCATCCCTGAAGAACTTAAAATAGATGGTACTCTATATATGCGAGCTTTATTGGCAGATAAATTTAATACACATTTTCTGTCATATGGTGCATGTGAATCAGTGACCGTATATGATCACCATTACTTATCTGTTCCGGTATTAAGCTCAATATTTTTAGAACCAACAGATGAAACAGAAGTTTGCAACATACTAATGTCCCTAAAAAATAACTGCGCAAGTGGTGTTGATGATATCAAGGTTACCGCTATTAAAGCAGGAACGGAGTTTGTGCTGCCTCCTCTTGTTGATCTTTGTAATTAAAATAATGGTTTCTGGTATATTCCCAGAAAAAAGGAAAATTGCTAAAGTCAGTGTTATCCACAAGGGAGGCACATATGAGAACCTTAATAATTACCCAGGCCTATATCTGTACTACCACTTTTTTCCAAGGTTGTAGAAAAAATAATGAATTCAAGATTTTACAGGTTTTTTACTATTAATAATGTTATAACTGACAAACAGTTTGGTTTTCAGAAAGGGAAATCAACTGAATCAGCCCCTAATATATATCAAAGATAAAATAATTACTAATATAGAAAATCATGCATATACCATTGGGATTTTCCTGGATTTCAGAAAAGCGTTTGATTCAATAAAACATGAAATTTTACTGGAGAAACTATCGGCGTACAGAATTAAGAGGTAATGCACTGGAATTAATTCGCAGCTATTTATATTCGCGTTCTCAATATACGGTACTTAATGAATTTTAATCTCAACTCGCACCGATAATATATGGCGTTCTGCAAGGTTCCATACTGGGGCCTCTATTATTTCTAATTTATATAAACGATATTGTGAATATACCTGAATCGCGTGATATTATTTTATATGCTGATGATACCAATGTCTTTTTTTCTAGTGGAAATCTGGACCAGCTCGAGGAATTTGCAAATAGTTGGCTCAGTAAATTATTATTGTGGCTAAAGCGCAACCAGCTTAATCTTAACACTAGTAAAATAAAATATGTGTTGTTCAGATTAAAAAAAAAAACTATTTCGCGTACATTGAACTTCTTTTTTGACGGGGAAAAAATTGAAGGCGTTAAATATCACAAGTTTCTTGGTGTATGGTTCGAACAAACACCCAGCTGGACTGTACACATTGAAAAAATGAGGGTTGATATTGAAAGAGCAATAGGAATATTAAACAAATTCCGACAATTACTACTAAAAAGGGTGAAACTTCAATTATATTATTCGCTGGTCTACTCACGCTTACAGTACTGTATGTTAGTATGGGGAACCACTACACAAACAAATAAAGAAAAACTATTTATTTTGCAAAAGAAGGCTGTTCAATTTATTGAGAACCTTAAAAGGTACGAACACTCATTTCCAGCATTTCAAAAGTATAAAATATTAAATATAGATCAAATCCTGATTCCAAAATTATCTATTTTTATTTTTAATAAAACTAGACAAAACAAAGCGCCCTTTCTTTATATCTTCAATCAAACCTCGGCAAATTACAGTCTTAGAAGTGCACAGTATACGAAACCCAGAATTCGAACTAATTACGGTACACAGCACCTTACATACCTCGTACCAGATCTACTAAACAAACACCCAAACATAGCAGAAATGGCCCAAGCACAGATTTAATTTTTCCATTTAAAAAAAAAGGATTGCAGAATATATACTAAATCACTCATGATCTGCAGTCAGTACGAAGTTGACAGTTGTGTGTTGTTGTGGATTTTAAAATTGCTGTATCTTTGTATATTTATTCTGTAATTATGTTCCTGTGTCTCCTCCGAGTGCTGTGAAAAAGGGGCTGGAGCCTCGTCAGAAGACAACTCGCCTTCTTTTGCCCCAGCCCCCCAGACCCTTTTTTGTGTCTGAAATAAAAGATACATACATACAACTTGCAGCCAGAACAAGCGGCCATGTGATCCGGAGCCGATTATGATGCCAATGTTGATCATAGCCATGCACTGGGGGTTGGTAAGGCAAAGGACACGTGCCGAGTTCCAGACATCCTTATGGTTCAGCTATTGTCGTCATTGAAGCGATTGGACACAGGCAACGACTTAAATGCTTCTCGAGCTATCCATTATCACAAGCCGAAATCGACTGCCCACGCAATGCTCGGGTCCAATCTTTGAGCCGCATTCAAATATCGTCACTGGGCAGTACTGCGACCGGCCAGCTATGTCATCAAGTTTTGCGAAAGAGATTGAATGAAAACGCTCGCTTTAGTCCTTGAAATTACAGCACAACAAGGAAGTTTCTTGGACAGTGGCGCTTCGTGCGAGTATCCTTGAGTCCCACTAGTGCCAGTAAGCTTGTGTAAAGTGCAAAACATTCCAAATGAACATCGCTGCACCGCCCATTTAATATCCAACAGGTTCCATGCAGGGGGGGCTTGGGTAGCAGTAGCAACCTTCTTATCAAAAGGCATCTGACAGGAGTCTCCGACAAAAGCTCAGGAGCAAAAGGAAAATGCTTTCTGTCTGGGTTGTAAAGTATAGCCATGTCTCGTTAAAGGGACATTTACAGGATATTTATGCTCGCCGAGGTTTTAATTTTAACATGACCTATAGAGCCCAGCTACCCAGAGCACAATTTGCGGCTCGAAATTCATTTCCTTTCCGCCCGAAAACAGCCGGTCTAGAAATGGCCGGTTTCAGTCGCTCTCACTCTCTTTTCCACAGTCACGTGGCATTCAGACCATATGTACTGAGTATATTCGAAGTCGTGGCGGGTCATCTAAGGCACACAGTCAGTATTAAAAATAAAAAAAAGATTATGAACCCCATTTTTGTGGTTTCCAAAAAAACTGCCAAAATGTTGATAAAAAAAAAAAAAAATGAAAGAAAAGGAAGGTTGCACAGATTGCAGAAAATACATGTATACGTCATTCTCAATATGGCGCGTACCACGGGCTGGACGACGCATTGGCGGCGCACGACGGACCAACATTGCGACAAACGTGGAGCCGTTGCTTTGGAACCATTGTTCGTGATACCGGCCAATTGATCTTCAAGCGCAGAACATCAAGCGGAAGGGATATAAATGCAAAACAATCATACGACAAACGGTAGACGCAACTTTGCCGCTGTCGTCTAGCAATTCACACGCCGGAGAATCAGAGAAACAAAAACGTGTATAGCCACGTGACTTCCGGTGATCAGCTTCCGTGCTTGTGTTTCGAGCAGTTGAGTTTTTGGCTTTATTCAAAATGTACTTGTCTAACAAAAAAAAAAAATCTTTTTAGGGTGTCAGTGTTTCATTCATATAAATGGTTGTTCCCACAAAAAAAAAGAAAGAAAAAAGTTTCATCATGTGAGTAATAACGGATTTAAGTCAAATACACATATAATAGGCAACAAGTATGGCCACAAAGAAAAGTATCCTGACTTGACTTATGCAAGTGGGGTGCACATGACTACAAAATGGACTTCCAATTGTAGACAGCAATAGGGAGGAAAGGGCAGGTGATCTATTTGAAAGCAAGCACAGAAAAACGGTAGAATCTTGTTCTCAAGATTGGCAACAAGCGACAGACAGCAGTGAAGCTCTGGGTGCAGTTTATAACCCAATT